TGGCGGCGGTGGCAACAATACTACAGCGAGAATCAAAGTTACGCCTTCTTTCTTTGCGTGAACATTTGGGCGGCGTTATGCAAATCTTCCCACATCGTGACGTAGATATGTGGGGACGTGTTTGAACGAGGCGTTTTAGGAGGGCGTGGACCAGTCTTAACTTTTATAAAGAATATCTCTTTGGGTTTGAGACTTTAGTCTTTGCAACTTTAGAAATCTTATCTATTCATAAACAGCTTGTAACACTCCAAAGAGAAAGGAAAACTTGAAATCGCATCATATGACCCCTTTAATATTCATATTTTACAATATTACTGTTTTTACTGTGTTTTTGATTAAATAAATGCAGCCTTGATGAGCATAAGAGACTAAAGTCACCATGTCCTTCATGTGATGTTAGTAGAAGCATAATTCTTAAGTGTGGGCTCATATAGCTGGCTTCATATCAGGGTCAGAGGGCAAAGGTCATATCCAGTCTTAAAATATAATGTATGATCTGTCTCCACCACAAACTCCAGGCATTGATCAAACCCACATAACCTTGTTTTAAAGTCCTCTTAGACGCTGTCTCCTCAGCTTGGCTTCTGTTTAATGCACAGAATTCGTCCTTTCCTGCAGAACTCAAAAGAATATACAACTCAAGCTCTGTTCAAAGTGAGCTGCCTTGTTGCTTATTACCTACATAGACAGCTGCATTCTAGGAGGGCATCCTAAAAAACATTATTGATTTGGAACATTATGCATGACCAGCTATGTGAGACTCAACTCGCAATAATATTTTCATTTGAGTCTGGTGCTAACAATAGAGCTCCACTCTAATAAGCATAAAGTTAGCACATTTCATTATTAGTTAAAATAATTGTTTTTAATTCTACATTTTATTCATACTATAAAGTGTTGAATAAAATGTTCATTTATAGTCAACATTTTTCTCACCTCACCTGCTTGAATTGGATCAGTAATACTATAAACATGCAGTGTTGCCTTTAGAATTTGGCCAAACAAGAAATATTAGGAGGCAACAAAGTTAAGTTGCCTACCTATTGAAACAGCTTTTTTGTTGTGAGTCTGCATTTGATGCCTTAAAATTCTGCCTCTGTGGGCAGCTCATTAGGTTGGTGAACAGAGTGTGCTTCAGAGTGTGCTTTGTGTTTGTAAGGCTTTCAATGGACAAAATCCATTCTGTTTATGGCAATAGCTACACAAATAGAGGCCATCTAGCATTTCCACAGCTTCTAAATTGTTCTGGGTAAGAGCGGAGCACTACACAAAACTGATTCATGTGTGATTCATTCTCTATAGTTTAATGTTACCACTGCCAATGAGAAAAATGGAAGCTCTGGCTCAGAATAACATGCAATCCTATCTGGGTTTGAATCGATGGATAAAAACCATATTGTGTTCCTGCGGCAACCTGCTTCTGTTCGTCCCAGGGCTAAAAATAAACTCCTCTGGCTCGCCAAGTCCCTGTGTGCGCAGACCACCTCCAAACTAGCATCACTTTGGACTTGCGTTTCCATAATTGGACTATTATATTCAATTAGTATTGCCACTGTCTGAAACTTCAGTCTCATCCGTGATTAAATTGCTTTTCTGTTGTCTATCATTGCCCCAAAGCCTTTCTGACAATCCCTTTAATCTCCCAAATGAACACTAACTAAATTTTGCCAGTTTTTCATTTTTCTCTTTTTTAATGCAAATGTCCTTGTCAACAAGTACGTTATGACATTACATGCTCAGTAACTCATTTACACATCCACTTGAGCTGTGCTCTGAGATGAGAGACCTTGGTGAAGGGTGCACAAAATGTGGCCATCACGATCGCCGGCGTTCTGCAAAAAGCAAGCTGAGTCCTATCATAAGCATCCACCCCACTGAGTATGTTTTTCTGTTCTGTTTCCAGGGAGTCAAGAGGAACTGATCCTCTCGTATGAGCCCGTCATCAGACAAGAGAGTAAGTGCCTCTCCACGGTCTCTCATGTTTGAACTGTATGACGTTCACAGTAAGTGTAAATAGATTATGTGATTGGTGTTCAATTTGATTTTCTGTGTCTGTATTATGTGTTTGAACAGTTAATTATGCCAGACCGGTTATAATCTTGGGGCCTATGAAGGACAGAATCAACGATGACCTCATCTCCGAGTTCCCGGACAAGTTTGGGTCATGTGTGCCACGTAAGTACCCAACAGAGATCTTGTGGTTCCTGTCCAGGTGGTTAGATTATCAGATAAACTAGACTTTTTAATGGATCTTCCATTTATTATTCATTATTCATCTTTAGTATGCACAGATTAACCTTCAGTAGAGGCTGACTCAAGCAATGTCTTTAAAGAGCCCAACTGAGCAATAGTGTACTGTGCTATTCTCACTTGTGCCGTTATGAATTTCAATTGGAGTGTTAGAAAAACCTCCAGCCAGGGTAGTTTGTAATTATATCCAGTAGTCTTGGGGTGTTTTAAGCCTTTGTGCTGATAGCGGTTCTGGTGGGGTTCATCAAAATGAGATGGTAAGGTGAGTGGCCTGACCATAAGAGTCTGTGGTGTTCCCTACTGTCCCAGAGTGCTTGTTGTGCAGTTCCTGAAACTCATTTCATTGTGTTGTGACTATCAAATCACTTATTTCAAGGTCTGCTGATTAATAAACTTCAACTAGGTCACTAGGTAGTGATGTTTTCTAAAGAGTGGTCTAAAGAGTAAATAAAAAATTACTTGGAGCAAACCTTGAAAGTAACCCTTAGTAATCCACGATTTGTAAGATTTCATTTGTGTTAAGTTTTATGTTTATGGGGAAAGAGCTTTGTTGGCTTGTGCTACACGTATCAGCCAAAATATTGAGGTCTTCATCTCAGAATAAAAATCCCATATTATAAAAAATCCCATATCATTCTGAGTTTGCTGATGAGTGCCACAGAGCTCTTTCATGTTTTACATCTTAAACATTTTATTTGTTTGTTTTTCAGTTTTTCGGACTTTTATTTAACCGTTTTTGTTTGTTCATAATTTTTAAAAAGCAGCTAACAGTTCTGGTCAAGAAGGTAAGTGAGAATATTAGTCTGCAATGAGCAAGATATGAGTGGAAAATGTAATAGTGCTTCCCTGTAGTATACAGTTCATCCAGTCAGTGGGAACTATGGGTATTTCTGCTTAGACCACTGCTGCTGTTCTATTTTTTAGTATGTCACCCCGAAAGGTAGTCATATAGTAGTTTATTTGTATTTGTAAGAAGATTTGCTCTCCGTCCTCTGACAGCTTAAGGTATTTCACATGAATGAGTATGTAAATAATAATGATGGTTTATATGTGTTTTAGAACCGAGTACCCAAGTCTTATAAATCTAAAGCCTGGATTTTTTTTTGTTTTTTGTTTTTTTTTTCCAATTCCAGATACTACAAGACCAAAGCGGGATTATGAAGTGGACGGGAGAGATTATCACTTTGTGACCTCACGAGAGCAGATGGAGAAAGACATCCAAGACCACAAGTTCATCGAGGCTGGACAGTACAATGACAATCTGTATGGAACCAGTGTCCAGTCTGTCAAATACGTGGCTGAGAGGGTCAGTACTTGCTGTGGTTTTACAACCACAACATTGCCACGAAGTCTGCTTACTTCCTTGCTATTATTGGTACTCTTATTTCTTATGCATACGTTGTGGTTTATGATTATTTTAAATGCTTTTAAAGCACTTACCATTATGAATGAAATGTGGTGTATAAATAAGCTTGCCTTGCCTAACGTAGATTTCACTATTTGCGATGTGTAACTAGTTTAGCATGTTCCAGATGTATATTACTTGCGAGTAACTCGGTAAAGAGTCAAACTCAATGTTAGGGGCCATCATTCACTAGACTCGTCCTTGCTGAACCTCTTGTAACTTTACAACACTTGAAAGTGTGTTTTGGGAGCGGCCCCTTACTCTACCGTTCAGCTTCCCAGCATTTAGCAAGTCCTTTTTGCTTTTCTAGGGAAAACACTGCATACTTGACGTGTCTGGGAATGCTATAAAACGACTACAAGTAGCACAACTCTACCCAATTGCCATCTTTATAAAGCCTAGATCCATCGAGTCCTTAATGTAAGTTTCCCACACATCTCTATGATGACGTATATATTTAATAAATAATACAAATTCCTCTGCGCTCAGAGACAGTGACTGATACACTTCTAAAACCTGTGCGTTTCAGGGAGATGAATAAGAGGTTGACGGAGGAACAGGCCAAAAAGACGTACGACCGTGCCATGAAACTGGAGCAGGAGTTTGGCGAGTACTTCACAGGTAACACAAGAGTTCCTAATCCATCCAAAGGACCCGAGAGGCGCCTTTATGCTCAGATATCACCTCATTTGCATATTCTGATAGTCTCTTGCATATGCATTACCTCAGAGGCCAACCACTGCAGCCTGTTACATCCATCATGTTTGACAGCAAAGCCATGGAGCTGATGGTCTCCCCTGAGTGAAACACATCAACTTTCTCTTGAAATTTGCATTAGCTTGACCCCCGTGAGTCTGTATGGAGGATTATGAAAAAGCATGCAGCGACATGATGGTTCATTTGAGGATATTTTTAACCCATGTGACTATGCTGCTGCTGCTTCATTTTTTTTTTTTTATTCCGCTGCTCTGCATCTGCAAGAAAGCTCCCGGAAGATATTTTAAAAGTGTGTTGCTTTACTAATAATGCTGTGTACTTAAATAGAAGAACTATTTTGCTTATCAGAAAAAAGAAAATATATTTTTAAACAAAAAAGCTGCATAATTCTCATTGCTTTTTTAGATATTCTGTTGCTGGGTAAAATGGCTATTCTTACAATAAGAATCCATGAACAATAAAGTGGCTAATGAGCCATTAAGTTCAGAAACGATCATTATGAAGCTGTCATCAGGGGTTCTTACTTGTGGTGCAAAACGAAAAAGACGTTGAGAATCTTTTAAAGGTGCTGTATGTAGGATTGACACCGAGTGGTTGAACTAGGTATTGCAGTCCAAATTCAAAATATTGGAGAGGGTTTTTTTCACCCCGCCCCTCCTCCTCAGACTTCACGCACACGCAGGTTGCCAGATTGAAACCAACAGGAACGAGCGCACTTGACGATGAATGAAATGAAATACGCTGTGTTTTCCACCAACTGGCAACCCGGGGTGATGAAATACAATTGGGTAAACTGGCAGTGGGCGGGTTTCACAAACCAAAACATAGACAGCACATTTTCAAAGGAGAATAACTGACTGTAGCATTGTTTTTCAGATAAACAAGTATGTTAACTTAGCATGTTTCTTAAATATCTGCAAACATATTATGGTATGTTTATGCTTTAATAGAGTCAAAAACTTACAGCACCTTTAACATCAGCTCTTTCTCTTTTTCTTTCAGCGCTGGTTCAAGGGGACACACTAGAGGACATTTATAACCAGTGTAAGATGGTGATAGAGGAACAGTCTGGACCTTACATCTGGATTCCCTCAAAAGAAAAACTATAAAAAATCACCTTACCCTGGCAGGGACCTTGGACTGGGAAAAAACACACATAGGAATAATTTGTAATATAATATAAATTATTATTATGGCAATGTTTATTGTTAACTCTTACAGTGATTTTTTTTTTCGTTTGTTTGTTTGTTAATTTTACGTTGCATTTTTCACTTTCAATATGAATGTTCCTGAATGTACACTACGAAGTGTTAGAAGCATTTTTGGTCTCAACAAAAAAGTGGACTCTGTTTGTATATTTATTGGTTAGCTTTTTAATTTAAGAAAAAAAAGAAACAAAATTTAGCGCCGAGTTTATTTTGAGCAGATGGTCAAAGAAGTAGGTCACATCATCACGGATGATTTCCACACACATTTCTTCCCTTTTCACCCAATCATTTGGTTTCACACACCTCCCAGACTCATTTCACAAACTCAGCATCTATGCACTCCTGTGGCTAACAACAAACACATTGATTGTGTTGCTTTTTGTTGTATTTTTTTGTTAATTTTGTTTTGTACAGGCATCCATTTTTTGGAAGATTTAGTTCCAATTGTACATTATTTCTAATGGATCCTTTCAGAAAAGAACCTTGAGATTTTAAAATGCTTTAGTGTAAATGGATAAGGGGATTCGACTAGCTGTAGGAAATATGACACTATATTTTGCTATTTATATTGATAGAGGACACAACAGCACAGGAAATATTTATAAAGATGATATATAACGTTATAAATCATTTTGGAAAAGAGATTTTACTCTGGTACTGGTCTATCATATTGTCGTCGCTGTTGTGTTGGTGAGAGTGAAAGGTAATGAGTGCATGTTTTCCCTGGTCACCTTATCCATCCAGTTCCGGAATCCCAGAGTTCTGAAATCCTTGGAACTCAACTTTAATTGGCTGAGGATTCTATTGAATGTGAAGTGAGTGCATTTCAGCTTTGTTCAGATAACAGGAAGGAGCCTGATGTTTGTGAATCATTGTTCTGCCTCCCTCAAGCACCCTCTAAAGTGTTTACAGTACCTCAACTACAGTTCAGAGAGAAATGAGGGCAAAAGGGTCAAGGTCTGCAAGCAGTCCGGTCTTAAAAGCTTTTAAGTAAATGTAGTGTTTCATTTAAGTTTATTTTTTCCATTTTGACATGCTTTACACTTGTGAACATGACCTTGGCTTCTTGTCCACACATTCACGCTGCATACTTATGTCATTGTGCCCTTTCCATGTATAATTGAGAGATATTCCTGTCTTTCTACATTAATAGTAAAGCTCTTGCCATTCGTGGAAACTACAAATGCCAAAAGCCATTAACTCTGCTCACTCGTTTCAAATGCGGGGGGGGATTATTTGTTGCAATATTTATTGGGAGATGATACAGTACGGTTCTGTGGCAAGAGTCTTTTGACCTACTGGTCACCACTTGCCTTAAAAAAAGGGAAGAGGCTTTTTGGGCCAGATAGACATTTTTTATGCTTTCTTGAAGACTGAGCACTTTTGTATATTTGAAAACTTATTCACAGATTGTGTTCAACCAGATGTTGGACACGGAGGGGGATTTTCAGAAGAGAGAGACTGAATATCAAGTGAAGCTTTTAATGGTGTAATATGACATTTCTTTGAATAACAATAGATAATGTATATGTTATTATGACAATGTAAACCATGGATGGCATCAGTGACTATCAGAATATAAATTGAACATTTTAAATGCTGTGAAATTATTTTCTTCTCTTCTACATGTGTAGTTTTTCTCCTTATTCAGTGTGATTGTTCTATCATCTGTAGCATATCATTTTATTAATTTAGTAATGCACACAATGGATCGTGAAAGCATCTTGCAGGATTTTGGGTACCCTTTATGTTAAAAATATTTGCCTTTAAATCTGTTTGTATTATTAGGTAATCAAAAGTGAATCTCAAATACTGATGCTGTAGCTTTAATGAAAATCAAAACCCTGCAGATTGTACGCACTTGAACAGGCTCTCTGGAGCCTTATGGTGCTCATAGTCTGATTTGGTCCATTAATTCCAAGTGAATGTTCAGCTTAGTCAAACGTGCTGAAATGGGGTTGTTTTTGTCTCAGGGTTGCCAAATAGGGCTTAATCACTGATATTAAATCTTTGGATCAGAGTGCATCTGTTTATCACACAAATCTCAAATGTTTTGTTCCCGATACCTGCATTGCATTTAGTCCTTTGTTCTGGAGCATCTGTGTCCGAGTTCGCTTTGTGATTTATTTATCCCCAAGCAAGCGATGCAAATTATTTTCCACACATTCTTTTTTTTTCTGAATCCCAAATGATATGTGCAATTTTGTATATAAATATCTGTTTGCACTTATTGTAGTTGAATAGGAGAGCTTTAATTAACACTGTCCCCCAAACCTCTCTGTTTTTTCTATTTATATCACAGGAGATTAAAGTTAAATTATTAAACACTTACATCCCCCTTCTGTTTGTAGGTATCATTTCCCAGCAGTCCATGGGTGTAACAAATTAAGCACACGTAGAAAAAGTAAGACTGTACAGTTAACTTCATGTGTGTTAAAAGGAAATAGTTTTATTTTTATTTCACTCTTTTTTTTTTCTTTTGGCTTTTCTGAAGGAAAAACAAAGAAAGGAACATATTCTTTGCATCCTGTTGCACATGAGTTTCACAATTTGAGTTGAATTACTGAAATAAATGAACTTTTCCACGACATTCTAATTTATTGAGATGCACCTGTATTCCTGTTTGCTTTGAGGAAACTCAATTAAGACATTGCTTTAGGCATACATGAAGGTACTCTATAAAATATTTGATGAAACATTTACACTCTTCAGAAGATTGACAGCTGTCTCTCAAATGCTTTGACCTGTTTTGGTCTCTTACTGTGCACTGTGAGAGTGCATCTAGACCTCTTTACTGGCATCTAGATTTGCCATTTAACATCAGTTAACCTGCTGCTGACTCCATGATATGTCGTAATTGATAAACTGACCCTTTAACAGAGTTTGTTGTGCAAGACAAAACACTTTGTTCTGAAAGGCACAAGTCATTTATCTAATCACTGTGTATGACAGTCACTAATGTGTAGGGTGAATACTTACGACCTCTTATAGTTTGCATACTATGGGGGGGAACTGCCACTGAGGCGGTACCCATTCAAAAAGGTATACTTTTAAAATACTAATATGTACATTTAAGGTACTAATATACACCTAAGGTTGTACCTTTTAGCTTTTGTACCTTGATGCCACTCCAGTGACAGCTTTGTACCTTTTTCTGAGTGTATGTTTTCAGCTGTTTTTGCTGCCCTCTAGTGGTTGATCAGGATGTAACGTGTTTTTTCACTTATAAATCTGTTGCACTGCACCAGATTCATGAATATGAAAGTAAAGTTAGTATTCGCTGTTTTCACGCCAACATGTTTTGTAGTCTCTTATTTCAGTTGTCATTCCTCTCCAGCTTCAGGACACGCTGTGGACTCTTCATTAGAGACACGTTCCCAGCATGTGGGCCCTACCTCAGAGTAACCAAAGTCCTCAAAGTGTTGCGCTGCAGCGGAGGCCTGACTGCTCTCTTTCGGCTTAATGAAGTCTGTGTAGACGTACGGTAAAGGAGTCACCTCTTCAGGGTCAGGTACTTCCTGAGAGACAGGAGTGGTAGGAGTAAACAGGTATTATTAATAGGAGTTTGTTTCATGACTTCAAGACCCAATGAAATGACTTAACAGTGGCATTTAGGCTTAGTGACTACCGCCACTTCCGGTGCAGCGCTTTGTATGGAAATTGTGAGAATATTAAGCACAAAATTAAATATTTTAAGTGTTCACACAACAGGACAAAAGCAGTATTTAAAGCTTTTAATGCTATATACAAAAATGTTATGTTTATTATAGGTAATAATATAGGCTATTAATATTATAATTAGATGTGATTGACAGTTATTAGAAATATGACAGAAAGAGTCCATTTTTAAAATAGCCAAGCTATTAGCCTTCAGCTTACATTCCATTTAGCTTACATTGCAAACATGAGCCATGACTTGCTGGTTAAAAGCAGGTGGTAACAGGGCAAGTGTGGAGGTTATCATTTAATTTTATTGGACAAAATGTTGGTGATGCCTGTGAGTGCAAGATTAGACTATAAAAATTGTAAATGTTAATATCTACTGAAAGCTTGAATTGTTGCATGCATTAGCATATAGAGGCCTCAAAGGTTGTAAATATGAATTAAAGCCAAAACACTTCTCTGTTTTTTTTGTATTTTCATGGGGTCTTTAAGATAATGAAGATGGTGCCTTAAATGTCATCATATTAACGTACATCTAAGTGTGTACTAAATTCATTGTTACACATCCCTGCTGAAAAAAACAAGAGACCATCACAGAAATTCTAATGGTTTCCACTACAAATACCATTACAAACATTAAAAACCATCAACTTTTAACCATTAAAAAATGGTTTCCTGTAGTGTGTTTTGGGACATATTCCATTAGGATTTAGTGGTTTTAACAAGCCACCAATAGAAGGTGACCAATTACCAGTAGAGACCGACACCATTGCAGTTTCCATTAAAACCAGTACAATTCCCATTATAACCATTAAAACCATTACAAATTCTGGGAAGGTGTCTATTGTTTTTTTTTTTCAGCAGGATCTGTTTATTAATACTTTTGATTGTCTGTTACCTGATAAATACCAAGGTCATTGGCTGCACCCCCTGTGAAGTATATTTCACAGATATTATACAATTACAATTGGTATATGTATTGAATTATAATTATATAAATAATACAAGTTTATAGATAGATCGATTCATTTTAATACCTTCATCTGTAGTTCTGCCATTTTCTGCTCTTTGCCCTAAAAATATAACAACAGTAAAACATTCTGTACAAAATAGAAATGAAATGCAGTAATTGCTTTAATTGTATTTTCTGTTTTAGGTAGTCTGCTGAATAACTGGGGAGTTTTTAAAAGGGAAAATTTGTCTGTTTTTGTGTTTCTGTGATTCAAGCTTCTTTTTTCAAACTGGTGTTTGTGAGAACATTTGGGTGAGAAGTGAGATGCTGAGATTACGTGGTATTGAGGTTCATGATCTGAGTCACATAATAAACTAAATCATGAAGGATGTGGGTTTCATAAACAAAGAGTTATTACATTTACATTTAGCAGATGCTTTTATCCAAAGCGACTTACAAATGAGGACAATGAAAGCAAAATCAATCAACAAAAAGAGCAATGATATACAAGTGCTATAACAAGACTCAGTTAGCTTAATGCAGTACACGTAGCAAGTTTTTTTTTAAATCATATAATAAATGAAAAGAAAACAGATAGAATAGAAAAAGAATAGAGCTAGCTGGTTTTAGAGGCCTTTTTTGCTTTTGTTAATTGTATAATAAATAAGAAAGAAAACAAATAGAATACACTCTAAAAAATGCTGGGTTAAATACAACCCAGTGCTGGGTAACATAGGGACAAACCCAGCAATTGGGTTGTTTTGACCCAGCAGTTGGGTTACTACCCAGAAGGTTGGGCTAAACATTTAACCCAACCGCTGGGTCAAAACAGCCCAATTGCTGGGTTTGTCCCTATTTTACCCAGCACTGGGTTGTATTTAACCCAGCATTTTTTAGAGTGTACAAAAAGATTAGAGAAGCTAGTGTTTTTTTTAAAAAAGACAACAAGCACAACAATTAGAGTGCAAGTCTACAAGTAAAAATGATAAAAAAAATTAAAATATTTTGCTAAAGCAACATTTATGAACACTGATTATGTATTTGGGAGAAAATCTTACTGTGATAGTATTTGTAAAGGCAGTAGAACACGATGCACAGTCCCAAAACACCTGTGAGTGTAAGTCCACTTGAAAGCACAGTTTGATCAAACTGAGTTTTATCTCTAGTGCCATTTCCTTGGTTAACAGTTGAGTTTCCACCTTAAATAAAAACCAGAAAAATACATGATTATGCAATGCAGCTTCCTTTAGCACAATGTTGCTTTCTGTTTAAAGATGTCTTACGAAGTGCCTTTGTGTTTAAAGGTGTTTTAGGTTTAATTCCTGTCCTAAACAGAGTATTACAATCTGACATCATTTTGCAAATTCATGTAAGGTGCACAATGAATGAAGAACTGCTCACTGGTAATATATGTGTGCTTTTCTGATTCTCCATATGCATTTGAAGCAATACAGCTGTACGTGCCGTATTCGGAGCTGGTTATGTTGCTGATGTGTAGAGTTTGGTTCCTCTCACTGAATGAGTGTCTGTGTTTCTCTAGAATAGGGACTCCTTCTCTCTTCCACATCAGATGCAGGAATAAACCGCTCACTTCACACTTGAGAGCCACAGATGTGCTGGAGGTCCAGGAGACCACAATTTCTGTTGCATTTGGAGGATCTTAAAGTAAAATATGTTAATGAGCACAAGCACAGCATAATTAGATGAATTCTACATAAATATGCTTGACTCTGATTTGTCTGACTTACATTGAATAATTAATGTAAAGTTTAGGCATTTTGTAGTTCCATTTCCTGTAACTATAGTTTCAATGAAGACTCCTTCATCCCTTGCTGTCACTCTCTCCAGAATGAGGGTGTTGTTGTTTAAATAGAAATGAGCCGTTCCACAGCATTGACTGTATGAAACATTGAATGTATTTGTTTTTGTAATACATAGACATGTTATCGATCCCTTTCGTTTGGTCCATTCCACTGACTTCAGAGAATCTGCAGTATGTTGATCAAGTTCCTCTCCAGTGAGCTCAACACGACTGTATAGGCCCGTCTTCACTTCTTTGACTTTAATTTCTCTCACTGTCAATCAATATGTATGTTCGTTATTATTAATTAACAAATACTTCTGAGTAAAAGATAAACTATATCTTATACATGACTATACATGTGAATGTAGTAATTGGCCTAAAGAGATGAAGTTAGTTTAAGTAAACTTTAAGTAGTACTTTAAGTAAACATCACATATATACTACATATCTAGCTTTTTAAAATGTATTCGATGTATGTATTACAAACCACATATGCATGAATAAAAAAACAGAAGCACTGCAATAATTATTAGCTATAGAATTTATTTGCCATACTTACCAAATACAGCAAAGAAAAACAGCCAAATATGAATGAAACATCCAGGCATCATAAGTCAGGAGTTAGACTTAATCCTCTTGTAGTCAAATTAGCATTTTATTAACATTGGTAACCATTAATCAGTAGATCTAGTTTCTGTGACACTCGGAGTTGAAACTGTCGCCTCAGAGTAAAAAATAGCCACTAAAAACCACGACAGGAACATAAAAAGCGGTTAGAACAAAGAAGAAGGCAGGGCTGCTCTTATTCAGATGATATATTAGACAACGCCTCACGTACATGTTTCATATTGTATGTATCAGACCAATTACTAATTCATGAAGAAAAAAAAAACTTGCTCTGGTTCATCGTATTATTTAAAAGTCTAAAACTGATTATGGCTATAATGTCATCTTGCTGTGCTAAATCACCAGATGCCTTTCGGTGTATAGTGTTGAATCAGTTTAATTTAGTATTATTTTTACTGGATATTTATACAATACCTACTGTTATTTAACAGTATATGACCTAATAAAAGCTAGAGTCTGAATCCCCTGATACTAATTGTAAAGTGACATAAAATATCTGTTAATGTAAGAAGTGAAGTTAAACAAGGAAACCCATCATCCTCTGGTTTTACCCTTTAAAACAAGTCTGCTAAACATATAAAGAATTCACACAATCTGAGATGCATAACAGAATGTAACTTCACAGCTTCAACTGGCGACACAACAGCTAAGAACGAAACAGGATGTATGAAAATAGGCCATGAAGGAGACTTCAGTCCAAAGTGAGTCTTTCTAATTCAGCAGTGGCTGTTTGTGAAGCAGGCGGTGTGTCGGATTTCTGGCCCTCCGCTACAGATTTAAAGTGCTGATCACAGGAGAAACAAAACGAGCTCATCAATAATACAACCCAGAACTGAAACATTTCAAATCCTGTGCTTTACAAAACGTGACTAAATGCCACTTAATACAAATAATGCAAAACAAGTACCTCAGCATTTGTAGATTGTGAAAAGCAATTATCAGAGGTGTCAAGTATTGGCGTAAATGTAATTAGTTACTGTACTTGAGTATCTTTTTGGATATTTTGTAGTTGTACTGAGTATCAAAGATATTAGCAACTTTTACTCTCTACTTCACTACATTTTTGAATGAGTATCTGTACTCTTTACTCCACTACATTTGAAATGAGTGTTGCAGTTACACATTACATTTTGCATGGACCTAGCTTTTTCAGCAGCAGTTTATTTCTGCTACAAAAGACGTGATACTGCCTATTACAGGTCACTGAAAGTACTGCATCTTGTGCGTTTTACACTTACTCACCCAAACTTTTCAACAAGGCTACTTTATGTGAATGCGAGTTCCTTAGCAAGTATTTGTGAATCAGAGGTGTTTTATATATGAGATGAGGACATGACTGCAGCCGGCAATGAGGCCGAAACCAGCACAGCCAGTGCAGGAAGGCTTCGGCTTTTTAATTTTACTTTATTACATTATTTATTTCCATTATACTGAAATGACCTTTTTGAACGATTTTTTTTTATTTTTTTATTTTTTTTATTTTGAGATGTTCAGTTTTATTTTGGTTTTAGAAAATAAACGCGCTCTCCTCACAAATCAACTCTTTCTTGTTTTTGTTTCATGCTCTCTGTGCCTTGCCCTGGACTTTTATGTCACTTCCTGTCTCCTGTGGTGTTTGTAGTCAGTTTGTAGTCCGTTTGTTCATTGGTTCTCCTTGATTAGTCTCCCCAGGTGTGTCTTATCTTGTTAAGCTTGTTAGCCCCCTGTGTGTATATATAGCCCTAGTATTTCTTTAGTTCCTTGTGAGTTGTTGAATGTAGTGGTTGTCTGTTTGCCAGTCATTCTGTTTTTTGTTCCCTTTGGTTTCTAGTGCATTTTTTGAGCCTATATTTAGTATAAGTAAAATACTTAAGTACTGTTAAAATCAGATACTCTAAGACTTTTACTCAAGTTGTTTTGGAATTGGTGACTTGTAACGTGTAGTGGAGTAATTTTCACTGTAAGGTATCTGTACTTTTACTCAAGTATTGTTTTTAGGTTATCTTTACACCTCTGGCAATTATTATTATTTAATGTAATATTGTAGAATATAATTTGTCCTCTCCAGTTTCAGGACATGCTGTGGACTGATCATTAGTGACCCAATACAGAACGACGGTTTCTTCCCTGCCTGTGGCTCCAACCTCAGAGTTACCAAACTCCTCAAAGTGTTGTGCTGCAGCAGAGGCCTGACTGCTCTCATTCGGCTTAATGAAGTCTGTGTAGACGTACAAGAAGGAAGTCACCTCTTCAGAGTCAGGTACTTCCTGAGAGACAGGAGTTGTCAGTGTATACAGGTATATTAACAATTATATAAATAAATCATTCATAGAATTCCACTGGATACAAAGAGTTTGTTATTTGACTTAAAGACCCCATAAAATTACTTTAGGATTGTGTTGACATATTGAAACTTTTTAGGTCACACGTTACTTTACAACCTGAACCATGATTAGGTACTAGCCAAAAGCAAGTGATAACAGGATGAGGAAATATTCTAATTTTAAAGAGCATTTTATTGGATGAAACTGTATGCACCCATCAAGTGCAAGATGAGTCATCAATATTGTTGGTTTTCCTGGAAGAGGAATGTGTATATGTGCTTAAAGCTAATGTGCATGGGCATAGAGGCATTTAAGCTAACAGACATGGAATAACAGCCACAAAACGGCAGTATTTATTTTTATGGGATCTTCAAGTTAAAGATAATAAATGTTAATCATATTAATGTCCATCAAACTGTGTATACTGAAATCATTATTTATCTGTTTATGCCTTTTTGTGCATTACCTGATAAATTCCATGGACATTGTCTGCATCCCCTGTGTATTAAAGAGTGCGGTTATAACTTGTAAGATACTGTATAATATTAGTTGCAGCTCAGATTTTTTTTTTTTTACCTTCATCTGTAGTTCTGCCAATTTCCACTCTTTGGCCTTAAAAATACAACCAATGTAAAATACACTACACAAAATCTAATTTTACACAGTGCATTTTATAATACTATACATGCCATGTATTTCAGGATAGTCTGCAGAGAATCTGGTGAGTTTTGTTGAGAGGAAAATTTGTCTGTGGTTCGTACTATTCCTGTGAGAATATTTGGGTGAGAACTGACATGTTGAGATTATGAGGTATTGAGACTGAAAAACTGAATAAACAATCACAGAATCAACCTAAATCATGGAGGATGTGGGTTTCATAAACAAAGAGTTATTATTTTGCTAAAGCAACATTTATGAACATTGATTATGTATTTGGGAGAAAATCTTACTGTGATAGTATTTGTAAAGGCAGTAGAACACGATGCACAGTCCCAAAACACCTGTGAGTGTAAGTCCACTTGAAAGCACAGTTTGATCAAACTGAGTTTTATCTCTAGTGCCATTTCCTTGGTTAACAGTTGAGTTTCCACCTTAAATAAAAACCAGAAAAATACATGATTATGCAATGCAGCTTCCTTTAGCACAATGTTGCTTTCTGTTTAAAGATGTCTTACGAAGTGCCTTTGTGTTTAAAGGTGTTTTAGGTTTAATTCCTGTCCTAAACAGAGTATTACAATCTGACATCATTTTGCAAATTCATGTAAGGTGCACAATGAATGAAGAACTGCTCACTGGTAATATATGTGTGCTTTTCTGATTCTCCATATGCATTTGAAGCAATACAGCTGTACGTGCCGTATTCGGAGCTGGTTATGTTGCTGATGTGTAGAGTTTGGTTCCTCTCACTGAATGAGTGTCTGTGTTTCTCTAGAATAGGGACTCCTTCTCTCTTCCACATCAGATGCAGGAATAAACCACTTACTTCACACTTGAGAGCCACAGATGTGCTGGAGGTCCAGGAGACCACAATTTCTGTTGCATTTGGAGGATCTTAAAGTAAAATATGTTAATGAGCACAAGCACAGCATAATTAGATGAATTCTACATAAATATGCTTGACTCTGATTTGTCTGACTTACATTGAATAATTAATGTAAAGTTTAGGCATTTTGTAGTTCCATTTCCTGTAACTATAGTTTCAATGAAGACTCCTTCATCCCTTGCTGTCACTCTCTCCAGAATGAGGGTGTTGTTGTTTAAATAGAAATGAGCCGTTCCACAGCATTGACTGTATGACGCATTGAATGTATTTGTTTTTTTAATACATAGACATGTTATCGATCCCTTTCGTTTGGCCCATTCCACTGACTTCAGAGAATCTACAATATTTTGATCAAGTTCCTCTCCAGTGAGCTCAACACGACTGTATAGGCCCGTCTTCACTTCTTTGACTTTAATTTCTCTCACTGTCAATCAATATGTATGTTCGTTATTATTAATTAACAAATACTTCTGAGTGAAAGACACTATATCATATGAATGGCAATAAAAGTAAAATGTAGTAATTGGCTGACAGATGAAATTATTGTCAGCTATTACGTAAACATCATATATGTAATATATCTAGCTTTTGAAAATTCTAAATATTATTTACTATCTAGCCATATAAATTATTAGTCATACTTGCCCAATACAGCAAAGAAAAACAGCCAAACATGAATGAAACATCCAGGCATCGTAAGTCAGAAGTTAGACTTCTTGATATAGACTTCTAGATCTTCTAGTAGCTAAATCAGTATATTATTTGATTCATAATCATTCATCAAACCATTCAAATATGTAGACATTCTTTATATGATCCTCTGTATAGCACTCAAAACTGCTGCCACCTCAAGAGTTAAGAATAGACACTAAAAACCACGACAGGAACATAAAAAGCGGTTAGAACAAGGAAGAAGGCAGGGCTGCTCTTATTCAGATGATATATTAGACAACGCCTCATGTACGTGTTTTATATTGTATATATCAGACCAATTATTAATTCATTAAAAAAACAACTTGCTCTGGTTCAACGTATCATTTAAATGTCTAAAACTGATTATGGTTTATATGTTATGTATACTTATATCATTCTACTTTGCTAAATCACCAGATGCCTTTCAGTGTTTATTGTTGATTCAGTTGAATTCAGTATTATTTTTATTGGATATTTATTCAGTACTTACCGTTATTTAACAGTATATAGAGTCTAGGTCATAAATCATCTATTAATTTAAGAAGTGGAGTTAAACAAGGAAACCCATCATCATCTGGTTTTACCTTTTAATAAGAAAAGACCAATTCATTGCAAACTGTGAAATAATTAGGCAGCGGATTATGGAGAAGATTTGATGATTTTTGAAGACACATTTCCAGTCTACAGTTTGAAGAAATTAGTTTTTACTAAAGCAAGTCTGCCAAACATAAACATATGAAGAATTCATACAATCTGAGATGCATAACAGAATGTAACTTCACAGCTTCAACTGGCGACACAACAGCTAAGAACGAAACAGGATGTATGAAAATAGGCCATGAAGGAGACTTCAGTCCAAAGTGAGTCTTTCTAATTCAGCAGTGGCTGTTTGTGAAGCAGGCGGTGTGTCGGATTTCTGGCCCTCCGCTACAGATTTAAAGTGCTGATTACAGGAGAAACAAAACGAGCTCATCAATAATACAACCCAGAACTGAAACATTTCAAATCCTGTGCTTTACAAAACGTGAATAAATGCCACTTAATACAAATAATGCAAAACAAGTAATCAGCATGTTCAGATTGTGAAAAGCGTTTTTTTTATATATTTAATATTGTAGAGTATCTGAAACTAACCTGTGAATTTTTGAATTCAGAGTAGAGTGTGAACAGCACGTGAAGTGAGTGAATCCGGTTCTTGTACACAGGGATGTCCAGGATTCCTGACAGGTTACACTTAACAGTCATTACAAAAAAAAGAACAAAAGCATCAAAGATGTAAATACAAGAAACATGCAACTTACCGCAAATAATGTCGACATACTCTGCCAAATCACAGTCAATATCTGCGGTGGGGAGATTCACCTGATGAACAGATGGAAAAGTGAAGGTGAACATGACTGAATTTGCAGAAAGGTATTTAAACAACATATTTGAGTGGAGCTAACCTTCCCCAAAAGCTCCTCAAACCCAGGCGGCCACTCTTGCATCAGGCTGTCAATATCTGGCATGGGTCTGGAGAAATATATAAGACTCTTGTTACAAAATGACATGGATGTTGTGTTCTGCTCTCTGGATGTTTGTGGTTGGTTCATGTCAGTGCTTGCCTTGTGTAGTGTACGGTAGCTGGAGGCTTGGACCGATGCAGCTCACTAATGCTCTCGATCCAGTTGTCTATGACTTTGGGGTTCTTCTCTGGGTTTTCAATGCTCTTGACTTTCACTTCCCCAGCTCTTCTAAGGGAGCCGAGCCAAAAGAGCCGAATCTTTGAAAAGAGCCGAACTTCCCATAATTGGGGTTGGAGCTAAACTCTGCAGGACACCGGCCCTCCAGGACCGAGTTTGGGCACCCTTGTGATTGGGGAACCTTTTGAAAGTGTATATTGTTTGAAAACCTTAAGCCATGGTGGTTTGGTGGTTAAAACAGGTTCAAGATGTAAAAAGGTGATTTTAACCAAGCTTTTTGGCAGTCATCAGAGACATAGCAGTTCTATGCATCATGGATCAGCTCTTGAGAACAGGATGTGGATGTGGTTCATAGCAGCTTTTCTTGCTGGTTCAGCTGTTTAGCTTTGCAAACTTTTCTAACTCGCCAAATAGTTTTGCAAACTAGACTCAAGACACTAGCGAAGGTGTAAATAAATTAAGGTAGATTTGTTCATTGGTTTTCCAATGAGTGACTTCAAAATATTTTTTTACACATTTCTGTATTCTTTGGCCTCTGCGATGTAAAATACTGTGTAAATATTTCATTTTTATTAATTCATGACAAATTAAGATCTCAACAAACATCTGAGATAATACAAAAAATACATACAATGTACAAGTTACAAGTCAATGATGTTTTACATTTATTAAAGACACTTTTATAGGCATTTGACATTGATTATTGTTGATTAGTTGCTTTATCTGCACTAATGAATGGTTGCAATACTAATTAAATATTATACATAAATTATTAAGGGATGCAAAAGTAAGTTGTGCAAGTTGTCTTCTATAGTGTGCTTACGGCAGCTGAATTCAAAGCTTGAAAAGGTCACACAGTCTTGAAGTGCAAGATCTTAAATGTTATCACCCACTGTGGTTTTGATACTTTCCACTTTATGCTGATCTGATGTTGTAGACTACACAGATGTGAAGACATTCTGCACAAGCTGTCATCTTGCTCTCCGCAATCCGGCCTATAAATAAATCAACACCAAGAAGAGGAGTTGCGGGGGTTAAGATTTTTTTAAAGGCCATTCAAGCTGTTTCTGGAGCAGACCAGAGTCAGACTTCTTCTTTTAATATGAACTCCAGTCCGGCTCTCAAACATTCCTCTTGGTGTTAATGAGCAGATCTCTGTTGAATTCAGCCTCCAGATTCCCAGCTCCACTCTTTCCTCCAGGAGGATCCGTTATCAGAGTGAGTTTGTTAAACACTCCACGGCCAAAATAGTCAGCGATGACTGAGAAGCCGTCATTAGAGCATTTGAGCTACGAGAGAGAGAAATTCTATTTAGTTAACTGGCACCTTTGATCAATTCAGCATGTCCTGCAGGAGGAAAAACGGTACCTGTCTGTGGAAATGATCATGCAGATCTCGTTTCTGATCTTGCGCACGCAACATGTCCATCACTTTCCTGTTCTCAGGGGTGCAGGTGGGGCACTCGGCCTCGCTCTCTGCAAAGCTCTCTAGGCAGTGCTGATGGAAAGAGTGGCCGCACAGGAAGTGCACAGATGGCAGCTCTAGTGGGCTGTTGCACATGCTGCACTTGGTCTTCTGGAAGATCTTTGCACTGAAAGAGCAATGTCATTTGTTTAAATATACAATGACATTCCTATACTATCAATTGTAGCATCCATTTTTTTTAATGACGTTGACTAAAGAATGAATCCTTGATTTGCTCACCAGGTTTTAAGTTCCTGTATTTCAGCACGAAGATGGGCCGTTTCCTCTCTATACTGTCGAATCTTCCTTTCATCTTCCTCAATCTGCTGGGTCTCCCGCTCCAGTTTATTTATCAGGTAGTCTTTTATGACTGACAGTGATGCTGTGGAGTTATGAGCCAAAGTCTGCACCACTACAACACAGACATTCATGTAAGGTCAAAAATATGCTGAACCGTATGAATAAGGGACAGTGCTGCCTCCTGCAGGACTTTCTTCTTCTGTCAGACAAAAGACAGAAAGAGCGATGTGTTTCCTGCAGTTTATGCTTTTACAACAGTAAGCAATTGAAATTTACCCCCAAAAAATGTAAAAATGGTTTTGAGATTATACTTCATAATGCAGCTACAATGTGATAAGCTATGGCCACATGGAATCTGTATAATTTTTTCCCCCGAGATGCATTGATATTAAAACTCTGGACAGTGATAAACTTAAAATTATTTTATGGCCAAAAACTGATCAACAAAAAAAAGAAAATGTCTAAATACTAAAAATAATTTTTAATTTAATTATTTTAGTTTTATTTTAAAAACAAAAAGCTAAAATCAATCTTGTTAAATGCTACCTTATTCTGTGCATTATACAATGTTTTATAATGTACAGTATTGAAATATTGATTTTCATTTTCAGTTTTGGGAATCTGCAGACTTGTCCTAAATAAGGTCAAATAAGTTTATGGAGTACCACGCTTTTATTAATTGCCTAACATCATAATCAAATTAACAAAAATATCTGATAAATAAACAAGTCAAAAAACCTGCAAAGCTCTCCATCAGCTTTTGCAGGTGCAAATGTTGTCAATGATGACATAATATAATGAGACGGATATATGTGTGGTATGTTTACAGATTGCACAAAGCATGTTTTTACCCCTGGGTCCTGCTCATGTGCCCAGTCCTGTAGTCTGAGCTCTAGGAGAGTGTCATAAACTCCCTCAGGTGAGAACGGATCCACCAGGACTTCACTAATGTAGGCCTTGCAGTTTTCTTCTTTGCGTGCAAAATAGCCCAGAGCCTGTTCCCACAAACACACCTCACTGTCCCCATAACGTTTACAGGCCTCCACGACTTTCCCGTACTCCTCATTCTGCATGTGGTAATGCATGATCTGCTGGTACCTGCAGAAATAGGCTGTTCTGTCACTTTTGCTTCTGTGCTGTTATTAGTTGTGAAAGCTCAATGTAATGCAAGTTTAGATTAGATTATTAAATTCCGAAAGGAATTCAGTCAGTAATTGTGGTCTGTTGTCACACAAAGCTATAGTATGGCTGTAGAAGACTTGTAGAAGTTGTGTAGATAACTTTTATAGCACCTTCTGAGTAAGTGAGACAGTGATTAGAAATAGCGCTTACAGTTTGCCCTTTTCATACAGATACAGCACTCCTTCCTTGAAGTTGTGCATCTGGCAGAGCACCAGGGCTTTGTCAAACACAGTGTTGTCGCTCCTCAGCAGGGACAGTGCTGCCTCCTGCAGGACTTTCTTCTTCTGTCAGACAAAAGACAGAAAGAGCGATGTGTTTCCTGCAGTTTATGCTTTTACAACAGTAAGCAATTGAAATTTACCCCCAAAAAATGTAAAAATGGTTTTGAGATTATACTTCATAATGCAGCTACAATGTGATAAGCTATGGCCACATGGAATCTGTATAATTTTTTCCCCCGAGATGCATTGATATTAAAACTCTGGACAGTGATAAACTTAAAATTATTTTATGGCCAAAAACTGATCAACAAAAAAAAGAAAATGTCTAAATACTAAAAATAATTTTTAATTTAATTATTTTAGTTTTATTTTAAAAACAAAAAGCTAAAATCAATCTTGTTAAATGCTACCTTATTCTGTGCATTATACAATGTTTTATAATGTACAGTATTGAAATATTGATTTTCATTTTCAGTTTTGGGAATCTGCAGACTTGTCCTAAATAAGGTCAAATAAGTTTATGGAGTACCACGCTTTTATTAATTGCCTAACATCATAATCAAATTAACAAAAATATCTGATAAATAAACAAGTCAAAAAACCTGCAAAGCTCTCCATCAGCTTTTGCAGGTGCAAATGTTGTCAATGATGACATAATATAATGAGACGGATATATGTGTGGTATGTTTACAGATTGCACAAAGCATGTTTTTACCCCTGGGTCCTGCTCATGTGCCCAGTCCTGTAGTCTGAGCTCTAGGAGAGTGTCATAAACTCCCTCAGGTGAGAACGGATCCACCTCGATCATGTGTTCCAGGAACGCTCGCAGCTCTCGTGGGTTATTGGCAAAGACTGGGATGAACTCTTCTGAATTGGCCTGTAAAAAGGTAAGAAAATGTTGAGATACAATCTCAAATCATCTGGCTTAACTCACTATGTTCTTGACAATGTCAGATAATTTGAAGGTGCTAATGCTAATCCAAATGAATGACCTTGTTTTCCGCAGGCCTGTCCAGGCTGTCCCTGTCGGTTGAGTCTTTGCTGGGGTGATAATCGGTGCAAAGGCGTTTTAAGAGGATGGTGGTGCTTTCAGGCACATGGTGCATTAAAATTTTTCCGTAGCGCTTCATATTGCTCTCTGCCTGATCAAATGGCAACCTTCCAATGTAGCGTAAAGCCTCCTGATAATTCTGAAAAGGAGTATTGGCTTAAGTATTGGCTTACATAAACTTGTTAAAAAGCATTACAACAGTTCATATCATATACTGACCTTCAAATCCTCTAGCTGGATCTTTAGATACCATTCATGGTGCATGTGTCTCTCTGCCAGAAACACAGCGTGACTGTGATAACCGGCCTGACGTAACACCTTGATGGCAATTTCAACATCGAAATGCACCTCACTTTCATTGCTCTACATTCAGAGGAAGGATGCAGAGTATACAAAGCATTGTTAGTGGTCAAAGCTTAAATACACATTCAGGCCAAAATCTCTTTTCTACAGACCTTTATGAACTCTTCCAGCTTAGAGCTGTCCTTCAGTTTGGTGTAACAGTTGAGCAGTAGAGTAGTGTGGTCAGCGTTGGCCAACGATTGCCTGTGGAGGGCCTGTAGGTACGCTGTCAAGTTGTGTATCCTTTGTGCATCCAAAAATTTACGGATTACGTATGAGGGCTCGAGCTTCCCAATGGTGCTGAGAGAAACAGAAGATCAAGAGGTAAACATGACTTGCCTGATTTTCAATGAAATGTGTAACAAAAAATCTGAACTGCAAATATACCGAATATACTGCTGAATAGCTCCATCGTGATCCCCTTTGACGTAGAGATGGTCTCCATACTGTCTGAATATCTCAGACAGACCATCATTGTCCAGATGTTGACTTTTAGCCAAGTTAATGGCCATCACAAACAGGTTCTTCTTAAACAGCATCTAAATAATACGTTTTTGAATGGTGGTATATATTACTTTTCATTTTAGATTAAAAAAAAAAAAGTTTCCTTTAGTTTTCTTTAATGATAATAACACTGTACTAACCTCTAGCTTGGTCTGCGTGTCTTTTTCTTGCAGCATATACAGTGTTTTGTCCCTCGTTAGGACATAAAAAGAGCCCCATTCTGCCAGAACATCAATGACATCATCAAACGCCGCACTGTAAGCGATGAACTTGTTGTCAAGGTCATAAATGGTCAGGATGTGCTTTTCTGTAGGGGATGTCTGTGTGCTGCCATAATCAGATCTGCACAAGTTAAATGCCAAAAATGTGAACACCAAGAGCTTGTAACACTCCAAAGAGAAAGGAAAAATTGAAATCGCATTATATAACCCCTTTAAGTTAAGACAGATAATCTATGCAATACAAATTAGTCTTACTTCATTGTGAGCAATGATTCTTTCAATACAATGAGTCTTACTTGCTGGGTGACTTGTTATTGTGTGTGAGTAGCAGCAGGTATCCTCTGTGCCAGTGAGTTAGAAGTTTGTGCCCATCGAAAGCAAAACAGGGTCCTCTCTCATCGGGCTGGTACAAATACACACAGTCATCTCCAGCCACTATGAACTGTGATTCCTGTGAGGGGTCTGTGAGCGCCGAGCAGCGGAGGGCACAGCCGTGTGTGTCCAGTTCTATACGAGGGTACTCTTTCACTGATAATGTGTAACACTGTCAACATAAGAATAATGCTGCTTTCAGTTCGGTATGATTTTCATCTGGATTTACACGCTTTTCCAAAGATGAAGAAAATCACATTCCATGTAAATAACATGTACCTGCACTTTTTCTAAAGTGGCGACAAACAGGTGTGTGACTTTGCCAGCCTGCCGGAAAGCCAGGCCTGTGATTGGACAGTTGCCCTCATGGAGGCTGAGCGTTTTACTGTGTCTGTCTCTGGTGATGTCACCCTTCGTCAACACAACACTGCCATCTGTAAAACCTGAGCATTCAACACAGATATTACTGACAGTGTTATTATAGTATAATTAAAGTATTAATATTTTAAATTAGATGTATTTTTATATTTTTCCATTTTAATTTTAGTTCATTTTAGTAATTTTGTTGTGTTTTTGACTTTTATTAGTTTTATGACTTTTAGACTAGTTAATATAGTTAAACTGAATGAAAAAAGTATTTAAAATTTTATATTTTATACTTTTATTTCAGTTAACATGTATTTTATTTTAAGTAAATTGTTTTAGTTAACTATAATATATATATTTAAAAATCCTACCTATAGCCATGAAATTAAGGTTTTCATGTACACTGAGGCAAGACACTTCAGTAGGTTTGTTTCCAGGTATGGCAGGGAATATCCGGGTACACAGAGGACTGCCGCTGTCCTTCTTATCAAGGTTCCACACCTTCACCTGATGGGCAAACACATGCGGCACAGCCGTGTGTGTCCAGTTCTATACGAGGGTACTCTTTCACTGATAATGTGTAACACTGTCAACATAAGAATAATGCTGCTTTCAGTTCGGTATGATTTTCATCTGGATTTACACGCTTTTCCAAAGATGAAGAAAATCACATTCCATGTAAATAACATGTACCTGCACTTTTTCTAAAGTGGCGACAAACAGGTGTGTGACTTTGCCAGCCTGCCGGAAAGCCAGGCCTGTGATTGGACAGTTGCCCTCATGGAGGCTGAGAGTTTTACTGTGTCTGTCTCTGGTGATGTCACCCTTCGTCAGCACAACACTGCCATCTGTAAAACCTGAGCATTCAACACAGATATTACTGACAGTGTTATTATAGTATAATTAAAGTATTAATATTTTAAATTAGATGTATTTTTATATTTTTCCATTTTAATTTTAGTTCATTTTAGTAATTTTGTTGTGTTTTTGACTTTTATTAGTTTTATGACTTTTAGACTAGTTAATATAGTTAAACTGAATGAAAAAAGTATTTAAAATTTTATATTTTATACTTTTATTTCAGTTAACATGTATTTTATTTTAAGTAAATTGTTTTAGTTAACTATAATATATATTTAAAAAATCCTACCTATAGCCATGAAATTAAGGTTTTCATGTACACTGAGACAAGACACTTCAGTAGGTTTGTTTCCAGGTATGGCAGGGAATATCCGGGTACACAGAGGACTGCCGCTGTCCTTCTTATCAAGGTTCCACACCTTCACCTGATGGGCAAACACATGCACTTTAGAAATCAACTTACATCTCTAAAGCACACACAGATCTGCACTTGCACTGACATGTATCTTCAGCAGACACCTGTTGTGATTCTTACCAGAGGATTGATGCCAGGCTCATCCTGACCCACAGACACCAGGATGTTGTGTTGTTTCAGCTGGTACAGGTGTGTCACGCGCAGCTTATAAGCCTGAAAGCTGGACAGCTGCAGGGAGCGGGTCAAAAACCAGATCTGCCCGTCCATATGTGCATTGCATGAGTTAAAGAAAACCGACACATCTGGCATAACTAAAATCATCATATTTAATCATCCAGAAAGGACTGAATGTTGGATTCATGAAAAATATAAAAGAAAATACATGCCATTATCCATTTTACAAAGCAGGTTTATTGCAACCTATTAAAATACGCTACAATTTATGACTTGTACAACTATGATTATGAAATATACTTAGTATTATTGTTTATTAGATTCATCATTGCTAACTAGCCTCAAGCATGACTTCAGCATATTAAGGATATCTCCAAGCACAATGTGTCCTCGACCTGAATCACAGGCCGATATTCCCACCGGTAGTTGGAAATTATTCCCATTTTCGCTCGGATCTTTCACCGTTTCTTTATCGAAAAACACAAAACGTCTCCACTGTAAGAACGCTGCCATTTTCCAAGCAGTTCTTGTTTAGCAAAATCATGTGACTCACATCACGGTCATGTGACTAGTGTCAAGCTGTTCTTGTTTTCTGTATTCGCAGTAATATTTTTAAGGTTGCACACAACAAGCCACGAATTAAATTGATCAAATTAATTTAAACATTAAATGTAAATTAAATAATTGATGCTGTTTTTTAAGCCAAAAATACACACCAAATAGAAAATTATAAGAAAAAAAGTACATATTTAATTTAAATGTATGCTTTCAAAAGTTATTATTATGGCCAAAAGACATAATACAACAGAAAATTAACCCGCTAAATCCGATTCGTGAACGAACTGTTCTTTTGATTCGGATCTTTTCAGTGAATCTCTGGAACCGGTTCGCGAGTGTAGACTGAACGAATCCGTGCGTTTCATGTGTCAGCAGTCCCTTTTCTTTGTCGTCTCTTTGATCGTGACTCGTGATTAGGCAAAGAGTCAGTTACTTTTATAGCCAAACAGCAGAAATGTTACAAGTATAAACGTACATATGAAGAAAGTTGGTTTAATAAATATAATTTTATTTCATGAAAAACGTAATAAACAGACATTTGCCGTATAACTTAATTGGGCCGTTTTATTTTTTTTCATTATTATTATTTTTTTAATTGGGCCGTTTTATATCATGTAATAGATGCAAAGAATGACGTAAAAGAACCACTGAATCGTTTCTTTGAAATGAACTGTTCAAATGAATATATTCGCAGAGATGAGTCGGGCTCCCGCACAGCCGTTATGTTCCCCTATTTCACGTGGACCAATCAGGTCAGTGCTTACTTACACGACTGACCACTCTCGCGCACTGGTTGGCACGTGGACCAATCAGCGTTCTCCATTCAAGGGCAAAGAGGCGGGACTTACGAGCATAGCGATTAGCGCTTCACTCGGCGAGCGGCGAGTTGTGTGGATCCAATGAGATCACGCCGCGTTCCGGGCCCAATGTGTTAGAACAAGCCGGTGATTGCAAGAGCAAAATCAAGCAAGTGCGGTGGTGTGCTCACAGGGCTTTGCTGGTTAATGCGATCTCCCTGCCTTCTGTAAGACGTTAGATATTAAGGTTTAACGCAGAAAAGTTGTGGTTCATAATTAGGGCAGGGTAAGCGTTTTTAAATATTGTTGTTCAGGTGTCAAGAGGGATTTACCAGTCAAAAAGAGCCAATATAATACTTGATCTGACTGAAGGTAAGTGCCATGCCATCACTTTCTTTGTTGGAGATGTTTGGGCTTATCTGAGTGGTTGCATATGTTCACAAATCAGTCTAGTACAGTAGTAACGTTACATCTATCAGACCATCAGCTGCATTTTCTTATATGTAAAAAGAAAGCGTTCTGTTTACAATGTTCACATTATCAAGCAGTGAAATGACACTTTGACATGGTCATGATGCTCTTCCCATCAGGATCAGGCAGCCTCATTCAAGCTTGGGTCACACAGGCTGTGCAACTAGAAGTTTCCACTTTGCATTTTTGAATCAGCATTACAAATAGAAGAAATGTGACTAAAAATGAAGCCAAATGAGATTTGTGAACATATATTAACTAAAGTCTCCTTGTATTCTTTTTACACCTTAGCTCTAATGTCTGAATTCTGTAGGAAATCTCTGCAAAAGTGCTTCCTGGAGGCCCCTCAAAATATTTTTTGATGGGACCCTTATATGACACACATTTCAGGTTTTGGGGGTTTCTGCCACAGAACTGAACGGTTAAATCAGCTGTGTTTTATTAAGACAACATCCAAAAGGTACTGTTGGGGGGCCTCCAGGAACAGGTTTGTGATCCACATGTTCTCAAGCTTTGTCTCAGACTTGTGGATGGGAATGGGATCACATCAAATCAGCATGTACCCTGTATGTACATGCATGTACCCTCTACACCTGCCACTGGCCGAATGTGTCCACCTACACATTCATATTTGGCATTCGGGCAGTTTTTCATATCACAGTTGTGATGTTGGACTGTCAGTTTTAGTAATAGTGTTATATAATAAACATGATGATTTGAGGGAACTTTTGATATGCTTCCTGTTTTTGTGCAGAGCTGTCACAGATGTCATGTGACTTTTAGCCTACATGCTGTTGATCCAGTCTTTGTATCTTTCCTGCAGGTCACAATGAGGGAAAGGCTGTCTTTATGGGCTGTTTTTTGCCTATTAGTAGCATTCCTGCCTTCTCAAACAGGTAAGCACCACATAAATTGTGATTATAGCCTTAAATTACTTCTAAGTTTCCTTTGGTGATGTCCTTCAGGATGAATTTAAATCTATCAAGATTGTAAACATGCGTTATATATTTACATTGTGGTTTTCTTATCTAGAGTGAATAATTTCAGCTCTCACTGACATTTTTTTGTGTGTGTTGCAGAATCAGTTGCTGTGATGTCTGTGGACTTGGGCAGTGAATGGATGAAAATCGCTATAGTGAAACCTGGTGTGCCAATGGAGATTGCATTAAACAAGTAGGTTTTAGAACAGAGTGCATATAAAATCCACAGATGTCAAGTGATTTAGACTTCTAATATAGAATAATTCATTTCGGACAACATGTTACTCTGTTGTGACATTTAGCTTCTTTTTTGTGTAGGGAGTCCCGGCGGAAAACTCCAGTCGCAGTGTGCTTAAAGGAAAACGAGAGGCTTTTTGGAGACAGCGCTTTAGGAGTGGTAAGTCATTGTACATAATACCTTCTTTAAAAGTTAACATAAAATGGCATTTGCAACAGATTTGGGGTTAAGATTTTTTTGTTGTTGTTTGTTTGTCAAAGAAGTCTCTTATGCTCACCAAGTCTAATAAAAAAATATGCTAAAATGGTAATATTGTTTACAATTTAATGATTTAAAATATCTTTAGTTTTACATGATCCTTCAGAAATCATTCCAATTATGCTTATTTGGTGTGCACAAAATATTTCTCATTTTTATGAATGTTGAAAATATTGATATTTCATGGAAACATTGATACATTTTTATGATTTATTTGATGAACAGAAAGTTCAAAAGAACAACATTTATTTGAAATAGATATCTGTAACTATATAAATGTCTTTAATGTCACTTTAGATCAATTTAATGCATCTTTGCTAAATAGAAGTATTAATTAAATACACTATTGTCTAAAAGTTTAGGGTAAATCATTCAAAATAAGACCAGGTACATGGATTAAGAAAGTAAATGGACTTCATGTTCTGTAGAATGAAAAGCACCCCTTCACATTTTCTTTGTCTCTAACACCATGTTGCAGCATATTTGACAAGCTTTGACTCTAGCATTCTTTAATCATGACAGGCTGTGAAGAACCCCAAGGTGGTTTACAGATTCCTCCAGAGCATTTTGGGAAAGACGGCAGACAATCCACAGGTGGCACAGTATCAGAAACACTTCCCTGAACACCAGATGCAGAGAGATGAGAAAAGGGGAACAGTGTTTTTCAAATTCTCAGAGTAAGTAATGGAGCACTTGCAGATGCATTAGCTGGAACCGATGTGTTTTATATTAACATGAAAAATGAATCTTTTATATCACCCAGAGAGTTGCAGTATACTCCAGAGGAACTTTTGGGCATGATATTGAACTACTCTCGTGGTCTGGCTCAAGACTTTGCAGGTTTGATTATAAGGAGTGTTTTGAATAGCTGTCTTGGTCTTTGCAGAGCGGGATATTTGAACGCACCAATAATTTAGTTTGTTTTCTTCTAACAGAGCAACTCATAAAAGATGCTGTGATCACAGTGCCAGCCTATTTTAATCAGGCAGAACGCAGGGCAGTCTTGCAGGCTGCCCATATAGCAGGTCTAAAGGTCCTTCAGCTTATCAATGATAATACTGCTGTGGCTTTGAACTATGGAGTCTTTAGGAGGAAGGACATCAACTCTACCGCACAGGTACTTTTGAAAGTTTTGAAGTGAATTTTATTTATTTATTAGGTCAACAGTGTATCAGCCAATGGTGCTGTTTGTGAGTGAGACTTATCTTTTTGACCAACCAATGGCTTTTTGTGATGTAGAAATGCATTTTTAAATGGGAATGACTGATTTTTTGATACTTACTTTTTTTGTAGAACATCATGTTTTATGATATGGGATCTGGCAGCACAACAGCCACGATTGTCACGTATCAGACGGTGAAGACCAAGGAATCTGGCACTCAGCCGCAGCTTCAGATACGTGGAGTTGGGTTAGTCGTGGTTGTCATGTTTTCGCCAAATTTGTTGGCCACGTGGCCAAAGTGTATGTAATACAATATGCATGTATATGTATTTAATATGCATGTATATGTATACAATATCGCTGTTTTTCTTTTAATATTTAGGTTTGATAGAACACTTGGTGGATTCGAGATGGAGCTGAGACTTAGAGATCATCTTGCCAAGCTCTTTAACGAACAGAAGAAATCAAAGAAAGACGTGAGGGAGAATCTGCGTGCCATGGCCAAACTCCTTAAAGAAGCTCAGAGACTCAAGACTGTGCTGAGTGCTAATGCTGAACATATGGCACAGGTATCTCAAACTGAAATGACAATTTATTTCAATAGTGTACAATACAGTTTGCAAAAATTAAGGAAGTCTGCATAAAATCAAAATTCAGCTATTTTCAACATGCATATTATTGTTGCTCTTATTGTGAGCCATTCAACCGTGCATATGTTTCTTTTTTCTTTTTTTACCTCCTACTTTTAAATGATGATATCAGTTTTTCTTGCCATGAAAATAGCCATAGAAGCTGGAATGGCGTTAAACGCAAACAAACAAACATAAATGATAATATCATAACTTAATAAACAGACTTCTCTGGTGACTTAAAACCCACCACTTTCGTACATTCAACTGCAAATTCACATTTAGAAGTTTGAGTGCAATGCCCAAAATTCATTTAACAACCAATGGACAGAACAAAGTTCCCAACCTACTTTTTTTTTTTTTTTTTTTT